ATATATATATATACTGCATAATATCCTGTTAATCTAGTTCATTTTATATACTTACGAGTACATCCTTACAATGCACAGGATCTTCCTGTTATATACACACTTGTTCTATAGTTTTCATCCTCCTGCTATATACACACTTGTTCTATACTTTTCTGTGTTCACTGACTGTATTTTACATTTACAGATTGAAATATATGTAGCTCTATCACACTCTGATACTGTAGCTGTTTTCCATAATGTATATATTATCATAGTTTATTTAACCATTGCCTTTTGAGGGATTCCATTTTTGTTCAAATAGTGCTTCAGGAAACTATCCTTCTTTATCTTTGTAAATTTCTTCAAGATTATTATAGAATAAAATTTTAGGAGTGAAGTTATGATGATAAAAGTTACATGCATTTTAAATTTGATTGATGTTATTATCTGTTGACTCTTCAACAAACAGTGTTTTGAGTGTACATTTTCCTGCATCCTCACCAACTCTTTCACCAACCTTCTTAAACTTGGGCAATTTTGTAGACCAGGGAGTAACATATATTTTCTAGAGGGTTTCATGTTTAATTCTTTGCTAATCTGTGTTTCAGATTCTGCCAATAAATATTTATTACTTTGTTTACTTGTTTGTTGTTTTTTGAGACAAGAGTCTCTTCTGTGTAGCCCAGGTTGGCCTCAAACACATGGTCTTCCTGCCTCAGCCTCCTTCCTGCTGGGATTGCCGGCATATGCCAGCACATTCAGCTGTTTATTTCCTTATAGAAAACATTTTAAAGAAACATGTAAAACCTGTAAATTCATCAAAAAAGTTGTCCTTAAACAGACACTCCAGACCTGAGAGACTTTGTGTTAGAAGACATTCAATGTGGGTTTTGCCTAAGGAGCTATGTGGTTCTATCATTCGGTTTCAGAGCAATACTTTTCTTGTTCTTGAATTACAGAGTCTTCCCTTCATTAATTCAGTATAAATTTACTTAATAACTGATGCTGGAGAGATGACTCGGCAATTAAGAGCACTGGCTGCTCTTGCAGAGGACCTGGGTTCAATTCCCAGCACCTACTTGGTAGCTAACAACCCTTTGTAACTCCAGTTCCAGGGGAATCTGATGCCTTCTTCTGACCTCCATGGGCATTACATGACACGGTTGCACTTACACACAGACACACACACACACACACACACACACACACATATATATATATATATATATATATATACACACATAAAATAAAACAATAAATAACATTAAAAAATAAATTTACTGAATAATAGAATAGAATGGCTGTTTTTTCTGTGTCATCTAGTAAGGAATAAGATTTGCTCCATATCGTTCATTGTTATGGTCTAGTGGGGGCTGGTGAAAGACAGGTAGTTTTATTAATCATAAAGTAACTAAGTTTAGGATCCCTGGAGAACATCTCACGTAGCCTGGTGACTGAGAAAGACTGAACCTTGAGAGATGCTTGATAGTAGCTAGCTTTGGCCATGAAGGAAGAGGGACGTGTGCACAAAGAGAGAAGGAGAGAACTGCTCATGTTTTATTTCTAAAGGTGCTGGTAAGTTCTTGGGAGTTCATTGTGTTGTATATACATGAGGAGATTTAATTTTTAATTTATTTTTACTTTTTGTTATTTTATGAATGTTTTTCCTGCATGTAAGTTAGAGTACCCATGTTGTGCAATGCCTGAGGAGGTCAGAAAAGGGAACCGGATCCCCTGGAACTGGAGTTACAGGTGGTTTTTAGCCACCATGTGGATGCTGAGAACCAAACTGAGGTCCTCTGCAAGATCAGTCAGTGCTGTTCACTGCAAAGCCATCTCATCCGCCCCAGGGGTTTTTAATAAGTGTTTTTAGTTTTATTTTGTGTTTAATTTACACGTGGTAATTATAATGTATTTCTGGGGTATAGTGTGCTGTTTAGATATATGTATACATAGTATAATAATTTAATCAGATAATTAGCATATCAGTAACCTTAACCATGTATCTTTTTTTTGTGGTGATGACATGTAAAGGAAGTACTCTCTTCTAGTTATCTTGAGATATACATTATTGTTAACTATGTCGTCTGTGTAATAAATAGTAAAAACTACTGATATAGTTTGCATGTTCAACGTCCCTCAAAAACCCATGTGCTAAAGGTTTGGTTCCCAAAGTGGCTCTCCTAGTAAGTGATGAAGCCTTTCAGATGAAGCCTAGCAGGAGGTATCAAGATAATTGTCCTTGAAGGGGATTTGGGGACCCCAGACTCCTCCTTGTTCTTCACCCGTGCCTGTGAGGGACGTGGCTTTGCTCTGTATGCCTTCTGCCAGGATGTGAGCTGCCTTGCATTCAGTGCTCAACAACAGTCAGCGTAGACTGAAGCCCTAAGACTGTGAGCCAAAACAAACTTTTCTTGTTGGGTTAACTCTGGTATTTTGTTATAGTAATGAAAGCTAACACGTGGTTTTAAATCAACAGGCTTTGAGTTATGTATAGATGCTAATCATAAAATATTCTCAAAGACTTTGTGTGGTATAGAAATTAGAGGTAGAATTACTGTAAGTGAAAAGTGAAAATAGTCAAAAGTAAGTTTTTATATTATTTTTTTTTAAGGATAAGTTTCATCTTGAAAGTGTTTTCATTGATGTGGAAATTAAGATAAAAAATAGTATCTGGCTTTATTCCTTCTATCTCTGTTTTTCAGAACCAAAGTAAAGCCATTTTGCAAAGATGCCACATTTTTAATCTTTTGCTTTGTTTTGTACTGTTGTGTACAAATAGGCATTTAATAGTTTATTTTGATGAAAACATTTGCTATCTGGCCCACTAATTTAATTTTTGAAACTTATGGGGGTTTTTGAGGATTTGAAACCCCTTATAAATTTTGAATTCCTTTTTTTTCCCCTCTAGGATTAGTTACAGGTTACATTGCTTAGACTGAATTTAAGAAAAGAATGTATGTAAAAGCTTAATTTTTCAGCTACCACGATGGTTCTTTGTTAAGGTACCAGATGACCTGAGGTAGATCCTCAGAACTCACATTGCAAAAGGAGAGAATCACCTCCCACAAGTTGTCCTCTGACCTCCATATGCACACTGTGGCACATCCCCACCCAATTAAAAAATAACTAAATGTAAAAAAAAAATTAATTTTTCTAAGAAATTGCTATTGGAATAATTTGGAAAACAGTCACTTGTAAAATTTCCTTCTTTTCTAGCCTTTCTCAGAAAAGTCTACAGCATCCTTTCTCTGCAAGTTCTCCTAACTACAGTGACCTCTGCAATGTTCTTATACTTGGAGTCTATCCAGACATTTGTACAGGAAAGGTAAGGTACTGGGATAACTCCGAACTAATGTTAGATGCTCTATTTGATGAAAGAGCCATATACATTTTCTTTATTCTGATCCTTTTTTAAAGTTAAAAAGTGAAAAAAGAAAAAAAAAATCTATCACCTAACTCCTGTAAGCCAGATTAGTTTTTAATGGAGACTGTTGTACAGTGTGGTATTTTACCTCTTTATTTCTTTTTAGCTTACAGTTTCTGAGAGTTATATCATCATATCCTGGAATAGAATTAAGAATTTGTACTTTGGGCCAGTGAGATGGCCCAGCCTATGAAGGCTCTTGCTTCCCAGCTTCATGACTTGGCTTTGATCCCCAGAACCTAAATAGTAGCAGGAGAGAACCAATTCCTACAAGCTGTCCTCTGACTTCCACACAAGTACTACGGCATTTGAAAATACATACCCCACACTAAATAAATAAATAAATAAATAAATAAATAGTAAAAAATAAAAGTTTAAAAAATAGTAAGAATTAAAAAGAATTTTTAGTGCATGCAGGTTTTATTTATTTCATTTTATTATATTTAATTTTATTCTTTGCCTTGTCCCCGAAGCCTAAGACGTTACTTTGAAAATAAAGTTATTTAATAAATGTAGTTGTTTTAATTTTGTTTCATGGCTAGGATAATTTCACTGAGAAGTTTCTAAAAGAGCTTCTCTTGCTTCGTCCCTTATTAAAGATTTTCCTGTCTACATAATTATTTCACTGGCTAAAAATAGTATGGTTACTTTATATGAAAGGAAAAATAAAGAAGAATTTTTTGACAAGTAGATTTTCTATCTCCTCTCCACTACCAGAGGAAGTCTTAAACTCTCTTACTGGTGTGCTAACTATAAACATTCCTCCACTCTGATGGGCGTCCATAAAGGAAAGGAGAAAAGCCAGCCTCCCTTTCATTGTGGGCTTTTTTTCCCCTGTGGGCCCTCCTCACCTCACATCCTTTAGCTTTTCCAGACACAAAAATCATTGTTTTGTAGTTTGGAGTGAATAATTCCAGATTTTTTTGTGTACTTTTAAGTAGAAAATACACAGGTTTCACTAAATTGGATACCACCATCCATGCTATTTTTAGACCTGAAATGTTTTTTTAATATTATGTCTTTCAGTCCTGCCTTAATTTTGGTGTTTTCCCTTGGATCTCTGGGATTGATTTTTGCGTTAACTTTAAACAGACACAAGCATCCCCTGAACCTGTATCTGCTGTTTGCATTTGTGAGTACTTTGATGATGCCTATTCCAATGATGTTAAGCCCGAGTTTTCAATGTATTTGTCTAATTGAATGTTATCAATAGAAAAACAAAATTGAGGGTTGTGTGTGTGTGTGTGTGTGTGTGTGTGTGTGTGTGTGTGTGTGCATGTACCTGTTGGAGGGGGAATGTGGCTTCCTTTGTGTGTGTGTATGTATGGAGGCCAGAGGTCAATATCCAGTGTCTTTATCATTTTCCACCTTATTTTTTGAGATGAAATCTCTCATTGAACCTGAAACTTGCCATTTCAGCTATACTGACTGGCCAGCAAGTCTCAGAGTTCTGTATAACTCTGACCCCAAGCATTGGGGTTGTAGACATGTGCCACCATGCCCCCCTTTTTACATGGATGCTGGGGATCTGAATGCAGGACCTCTTGCTTGTGAAGCATGCACTTTACCCACTGAGTCACCTCCCCGGCCCCAAGTTTTCTTTTTGATTAGAATATTTTAGGAAATTGCTTTTAAATTGTAGTCATCTGGAATTTTTAACCATTGTTAGTTTCAGTAGTTTTTCTTTTAGGAGTTAGTTGGAAACACACAGTTAAAGTTAGATGACTTTGCTTTGCAACCTTCTGGTTATGTGACATTTGGCAAGGCAGTCAGCCTTTTTTTTACCTAATTTTTCTCATATATAAAATGAAAATTGTAAGATATGTAATCCCTGTGGTACTTTCTACCTCTTAATTTTCTAGAACTTGTGAAGAAGAATTATATTGTAGCTTTAGTTATAGAACTTAAGTTCCTTTTTGATTAACTCCTCAGTGTTAACTCAGTTCTTTTAAAGAATTGGTTTGCTCAAATGCTGTGCTTTACTAACTTGTTTTAAATTGGTAGATGGGGATACCTAACATTGTTATGTTTATTGCGATAGTATTGAAAATTAAAATCCCACTATCATCTATAAAAGCTCCATCTTAGTTTGAATAAGGCTGGAAAGGCATTTTTATATTATTTTGTCTCTTCTCATACAGAAGACTTTGGATTCTGACCTGACAGTTTCCTTTAGAACATTCGAAACTGTGACTAAGATCTGTTGTCAAATAAGAAAGAATAAAAAAGACTATTGATAGTAGTGCTGGGACTAAAGGCATATGCTACCAAACCCGGATGATCTACTAGTTCTTAAGAATAGAAACTTGGGGCTGGAGAGATGGCTCAGCGGTTAAGAACACTGGTTATTTTTGTAGAAGACCCAGGTTCAAATCCCAGCACCCACATGGCAGCTAACAGCCATCCGTAACTCCAGTTCCAAGGGATCCGACAGCCTCTTCTGACCTCTGCGGGCATTGCACGACATGGGTGCACTGATCTGCATGCAGGCAATACATGCATACACATAAAATAAAAATAATAAATAGTAATAAAAATAGGAACTAGAAGAAGGTTCTAGAAATAGTCAGGGAACTCAGTGGTAGGAATTGTGTCCTCTTTCTCTCTTGCTGTTACATCTTTCTCACACTTGCCGTGCCCATTGTTTTCCCTTTTCCTGTCTTTAATTTTTATGTCCTGTTATCAGCCCCACAGAGCTCATCTACCTTTTGCTTAAGCTCCTACTTTCATCACTTGATTCTCTTGACTTCAGGTTTCTATCAGAAAGTATTTGACCAGTGCAGATCACATTGGAGATTGTTACCAGTGTGTTAGTTCTCAGTTTCTTGGGTGATATTCCTGTGTGTGTGTGTGTGTGTGTGTGTGTGTGTGTGTGTGTGTGTGAGCCCTGACTGTCTTTGTGGTATGGTCTATTGGATGGTTGATGAAATCTAACTAGAGCAAGCATATAAGACAAAGTAAAGATAATGTAATCAAGGAGGAAGAGAGACTAGAGTATGAGGCACAGTTTCTCCAAACCTTTTGTTTTGGTATGGGTTCAGCTACTTATGACATGACTTAAAATAGTGACAAAATAATGCCTAGAGAAGTTAGCAGGCCCAACTACTCCTGAGGTGTTGCTGGTCTAAGATAGATCATTACCTTCTCTACATGGCATCCAGTTGAAAGAAACAAAAGTGTGGGGTGGGTGAAAGAAGGGGAAAGAGAAGGCAAGCTTCCTGCCTAAAGCACAATCCTGCAGTGGCTGTACAGTACTCGTGGTTTTACTTACAGTGCAATCACATAGCTAGCTGCAAGGGAGACTAAAAATGTCATGTTGCACCTGAATAGCCAGGTGTCCAGGTAAAAGTCCTGTTGCTAGCAAAGAAAGAGATGCTTATTGGGAGACAGTTTTAAAACGGCCTCACCAAAGTATGTAACAAAATATTTTATGTTTATGGGGGGGTGATATTGAGGTTTCTCAAAATGGTCATGTGATTTTGCAGTATCATTTTTATTTATATTACCCACAGTGAGAAATTGGGATTTTCTATGTTATATCTTCTGTAGAGCTTTCCTGTTAGAGATGAAAAATCTAGAGCCTAAACAGTGATGGAACCACAGTGAGAATTTAAGTAGTCTCATTGCATTGAGGACTCATCTTTATTACTGTGGGCCTGTGACTGTCGTGTCCTGAAGACTTCACAGGGCTCCTCTGCAGCTAAGTTACACTCATTCTGCTAGAGAAGAGAAAGTGTGCAAGTGATAGTGTACATTTTACAGGTATTGGTTAATTGCAGTTTCTTTTTCTTAGACACTGTTGGAAGCTCTGACTGTGGCAGTTGTTGGTAAGTCTTTCTGTATGTTACCTTTTTTTCTGTGAACAAAAATCTTGAGGTAAAAGGGAATTCGAGGTTAAAGTTTAACATCATGGAATGCTGTATTTCAAAAACGTGACACAGAGTATAGTTTGCCTAAAAGATAAGAAAATTCAAATATTTATACTTTACATAGATCAGCTAAGCTTAGAGGAAATGGAAAGGTTTAAGGCAAACAAAAGGTATGGGGAGGAATATTTCATTTGTGCTTTCTGTTTACAAAAGTAAGGCAGGTGTAGCTCATCCTCCTAGAATTCCAAGGGGTCTTGGAGGAACTGAGAGCCTGTTTGGAGCTATGTGCTTTCATCACAGGAGCTTAACTCCCTAAGAACACACCCGCCCCCAAATTGTGCCCCACTGCTCCAGACCCATATTTTACTAATTGCCACTATGAAACATACCGGTAAATTCTTTCTATATTTCATGTTAAATATGTATTTGATGGCCAAGTATCTGTTATCGTTACTTGATGTGCGCTGTTCATGTCTAAAAAGCTCAGTGAATTAAAAAAATTCTGGTTGTCTCAGAGTGGTTTACCTTGGTATAACAAAATCAGCATTAATGATTTCTCTCAGTACCTGTGAACTATTAATCCTTATGGTACATACAGCTGTCTCTTCCTGTTTTTAGCCATTCAATGCCAGTTTGTTGAATCTGTATTTTTGGGTAATCTACCACTCTTTTTAGAAGAATCAGAATGCAAATCATTACTCAGAAGTACTAAAATAGAGTTGAAGTTTTTCAGCATAAACAGGAAGTATTAATTTATCTATATTTTCAGCTACTAATATTACTTATTGTTAATTGTTTTTTGTTTGTTTGGTTGGTTGTTGAGACAGGGTCTCCCTTCATACCAGGTGGTCTGGAACTCACTGTGTAGACTAGCTGGCTTTGCTCTCTCTGAGATCTGCCTGCTTCTGCCTCCCTAGCACAGGGATGAAAGGTGTGTGCCAGTAGTTGCTGCTGCTTATTGTTAATGTTATCACACCCAACTCTCCCTTCCCCAGTGCTACCATATATTTAATGTAAGGTGAACAAGAGAAAGATGACGGTTATTAGAACCAGGGCTAAAAATATGTAGATGGGGTAATCTGAGAACATTATTTTCCTTGGGAGGAAAATTCAATGTGATTAGCATACTAAAATTACTGACAAGAAGCAAAATTGACTTTAGTTTTTTGTGTTCACCTTCCTAGTCCTATAGTGACATAAACCAAGAAATTTTAATAATTTATGAATAGAAAAAAACATGTATAATTAATCTTGAAAAAATTTCAATTACTGTTTTTAGGTTTAAAGCACTTAATCCCCTTAAAGGAAGCCTTAATTTAGCATTCTGTTAAAACAGTAAGAGGTTGTATTATCATCAGTCAGGGTTGGATGGTTATTTTATTGCAGAAGGGAATTCAGTAAACTCCACAGTGTGCTTTAAGATAGTACAGACTTAGAATGCAGTTAGTGGTTGGTTTCTGTCCCCTGCAGGGTAGATTAATGATAGGCCAACTCAGATACCCTCAGGAATTTTCTTGCTTATTGCCTTGAGTTGGGCTGCTCAACTGATTAAACCATCTAGGGGATTGCTAGCATTACTTCTGTCCAGGAATTCATCACTAGCTAGAAGAGCCAGCATCATCCCTATCAGTATTAGCCATGGGGGACAGACACCAAAAATGGTGATAAATTGCAGACGGGGCAGAATATAAGAACCACTCCTAACTGGTTATCTATGTAATATCTCTATAGTTGTTTCATTAACTTCAAGATGTGACCCACTTATTTTATGTGAATGACCATTTTGGAGCCTTTTAATTTTATTATTGGTGTGGTTTCAGTGCATCAATATATTCAAGGCTGGATGAAGAATCTTAATTGGTTTTATTGGTGAGCAGTACAGGAGAAAATTATTGGGAGTGGGAGCGAAGGAGAAGGGACAAGGGAGGGCTGTGGAGTGAATATGATTGAAATATATTATGTGCATATGTGAAATGCTATAATGAAACCATTAAGTTTATTAGTGTATGATATGAAAACGTTTTTTTAAAAACTACAAAATTTCAGAAGTTGGGAAAATGGTATTTGATATTGGGTATGTTTATGCACATTTTAATCAGTGTTTTCTTTTGACAGTCACTTTCTATGATGTATATCTGATTCTGCAAGCTTTTATACTTACTACTGCAGTATTTCTTGGTTTGACTGTATATACTCTGCAATCTAAGAGAGATTTCAGCAAATTTGGAGCAGGGTAAGTTATATAGTCCTAGATATGATAGATACCTTTACAATCATACGTTTGAGAGAAATGCTATAATCTTAGCTTTGATATCTTTAAAAATGGAAGTTAGAAGAGGTCATCTAGGGCTGGAGAGATGGCTCAGTGGTTAAAGGTATTGGCTTCTCTTACAGAGCACCTGGGATTGGCTCCCAGCACCCACGTGGTGGCTAACAACCACCCATAACTCCAGTTCCAGGGGGATCTGGCGCCCTCTTCTGGCCTCTGCAAGCACTGCATTCATGAGGGTACACTTAACATACATACAGGCAAAGCACTCATACACATAAAATAAAAATCAAAGAAATGTTTTTGATAAAAAGAGTTCATCTCTTTGAGTGCTAGGATCAGGTCCTGTTCTGGAGCATACAAGGGCATGGAATGTGACTTTGAGTCATTTTCTTTTTTTTAAAATGATGAACGGAAAGTGAATTGTACCCACCCCCCAAAAAAAGAGCAGCTTTTCAGAGAGGCGAGGGAAACAATGTGAAATTTACTGAAATTATTTTAACCTTTGTTGTAGTATTATGAAGAGCACTGCTCTAGTTTCATTTCTGTTGCCCTGATAAATACCCTGACCACGAGCGTCTTTCTTGGTGGAGAGAGTTTGTTTAGCTTACAGTTTCAGGTCACAGTCCGTTTTAGGAGGTCAAGGCAGGCAGTCAAGCAACCAGTCACATCACCTTCACAGTCAAGACAGAGACAATGTATACATCCTCCTGTACTTGCCTGCCTAGTGCTCAGCTAGCCCTCTCTACTGTTACAAAGTCCAGACCTCCTGCCCAGGTAATGCTGCTGCCCACATTGAGCTGGGTCGTCTTACACCACTTATCAGTCAAGACAGTCACCTCACAGACAAGCCCACAGATCAACCTGATCTAGATAATTCCTCATTAAGACTCTTCTAGGTGGTGTCAAGTTGACAGTTAAAACTAACCAACACAGCCATCTACATCTTTGTGGCCAAGGTCACACATGGAAGTGTTTATATGAACATTAAAATCTTTATGATTAAACCAGGTGTCGGGTGGCACACACCTTTTATCCCAGCGCTCAGGAGGCAGAGGCAGGGAGATCTCTGTGAGATGGAGACCAACCTAGTTTACATAGTGAGTTCCAGACCGGCTGGGGCTACATGGAGACCGCATCTCACAAAAACAAAACACAAAACAACAAAACAAAACACAACAAAACACAAAAACCTTTATGTGTGTTCTTCCATACAGATATGTGGGATAAGTTTTTTTCTGTTATGATGATGGTGCTGTGTTGCCCTCATCTGGTAGGAATGTATAAACTACTGAGCTCACAGTGGCCTCCGTCGGCACAGTCACCCCACCATTTTCAGTGCTTTTTCCTCTTACAACACTAAGTGTTTACAAGAACATGCTCTTGCAAAACCTTTCCTCCCCACTTTTGTTTTCTGATAGTCCAGATTACCAGAAATCCCTATTGGGATAAATATGCTTGTGCAATCTGCCTGTGTAGTTTTATTAGAGTAGAATTTGACTTAGGGAGAGGCAATATTTTTCTCTTCCTTGTTTTAGAGAGGAGTTGCCTACATATCTGTGTGGTTTGTATGAGGAAAGGTTTTCTCTACTTCCTTTTCCCGTCCCCTGTCTTAACTGCTTCCTTCCTCCAGCTCATTCCAGTGTCTCCCTCAAACTCCTGTTCTTTTAAACGGTTTCCCTTTTGTTTCTGCCTCCTCATAACATATTCATACTTACTGATACAGTGAATGTTACAGTGATCATATGTAGATCAGATACCAGCTATTTCTGAAGTTTTTACATAGCTGGCTGCTATTTCTGATCATTGTTAAGATATTCTATTTCCTTGTGTGTTTGGTTGTTTCTACTATGTAATTGTCCTTTAACATGTGTTGATTTCCTTTGAGGTCTCGGTTGAATGTGCATTCCTCCACAGTTCGGGTTTGCTGCTGCCTAGCATCATGGAAAACACTTAGTTTGGGTTCACCCTAGCCACATCATGGCTCAAGATGTTTTCCTCACCCAAGTGTTGAGAATTGGACCACACATCTAAAGGGATAGCTGTGGAAAGACTTTCTCAGGGATGGTTTTTCCTTTACTTATCCTTCTTTGCATTGATAACTTCTCCTCTAGTCTCCAGGTGGGAGTGGGGAGGTGGTTTGTGGGTTTAGTTGACATTAAGGTTGAGCCTTTGGACAAGTCCAGTTGGACTACTGTGATTACTTCTTTAGATGCCCACATTTTACCTGGATTTTTGCTTAATTCTCTCCTGTCTTCTGAGTTTTTAGACATCTTTTAAGATACCCTTTGTTTTCTTTTTAACCTATAATTTTTAGATTTTTTTTGAGGGGTTAGAATGGGAATAGTAGTTGAATGACCCTGTTTGTTATAATACTGGAAGCAGAACCCTTTCATGTGTGTTCTGTATTCTTACAACAAGCCCTTCTGAAGTCTCCCATGTTAGCAGTTCCTTGTATGTTCTTACAGAGTAACTCGGTGATATTTCTCAAATGCAGACTTGGTCACAGCTATTTAAGCCCTTCAGCCCTTCACTACTGCTCTGTGAATGAACCTTAATTCTCTGTTGGCTTCATTTTACTGTCATCAGTTATAGGATATTTTCATGTAATAACTCTCTAGAAAAATACCACTAATAACTATTTTGTGGTCAGAATGCCATAGTATCAGATACCTAAGAATGACATTTTATTGCATTTTAAAACTTACTGATAGTGATTATTGTGAAGCCTCAAAGCCAAGATGGTTATGGAGGCCAAGTGCCAAAATGGCATAGAAGTTTTGTAGGTTGTCCATCGGTCCTAGCAGAGACTTGAGAAGTGTTTCTTAAAGAAATATTTGAGTTTATGGTGGAGACAAGCAGGGGTGGTAGTGCTTTGATGTTGACTTTTAGCTGTACTGTTTTTACACCATTTTATTTACTTACTCTCACTATCCTGTGGTAATTTTGCCACAAATGATTGAATGTCAGAACTACACATGATAACCATGGCCACTTGCCATTGTGTGCTAGAGCCAGCTTGTAAGAATCTTGCAAGTTGTTAATGATTAGGAGCTTGATGTAGGCCATAGTTAAAGTATTTACTTTAGAAATTAGGAAGGACTGCAAATCAGGGCTTATGTTTGTTCCCCCTGGAGAGGCAAATGGCCAACATGTTACTGTCAGTTATTTCTTAATTCACACTTATTGTTGTCAGTCTTGGCATTTGTCACCTGATGCTATCTGTATTCTGAGAAAGCTTGCTCTCTTTGGAGTTTCAGTAGTGGTGGCTCATGCCTTTAATCCCAGCACTTGGGAGGCAGAGGCAGGGGGATCTCTGTGAGTTCAAGGCCAGCCTGGTCTACATAGCAAGTTCCAAGCCAGCTGGGGCTACAGGGAGACCCTGTCTCAAAAACACCAAACATAAATAGTGTGCCCACACACATACAGACACATACTATAGATGATAGATAGATATATGATAGGCAGATAGATAGATAGATAGATAGATAGATAGATAGATAGATAGATAGATAGATAGATGTAAATCAAAGCACAATGCTAGTTTACAGAATGTGGCTTTCAGATCTTTACTTGACTTTTGCTGCATTGATAGAGAATATTGTCATAAACTAGCTCTTAGACTGAGTACTTACCAGAAACTTACCAAATAGACCCAGTGAATCAAAATAGTTTGCTCATTCAAATATTTCTCTACCTTCTCTTTCAGGAACCCCACTTGCATGTGTATCAGACTTGTGATGTGGCCCAGTTGACTGATGCTCTAGTCATTGTTTCAGCCTTCCTTTCTGTAATTCATTTGTTTAGTGTCCGTTCTTTCCGTTCAGTCATCTTTGGTGTCTAGTCATAGGGTTATTTCATGTATTTTTCACCTACAGACATCACTTCAGCGTGTCTTCTGAAAATGTGTCTTCCAACCCTTTTTGTCTCATGTTCATTCTTTTATCGCTGCTGAAATGTGGAGGATTTTTTTTTTTTTTTTTTTTTTTTTTTCCTTTTTGAGACAGGGTCTCCCTGCAGCCCCAGCTGGCCTAGAACTCACTGTGTAGAGTGGGCTGGCCTTGAACCCACAGAGACCTGCCTGCCTCTGCCTCCTGAGTGCTGGGGTTAAAGGTGTGTACCACCACACCCGGCTGCTGAGAATATATTCTTTAGTGTCATTTTGGACTGATTTTATCTTTGTGTCATTTCTGGGTGGTTCCCCCCCCCCTTGTTACAGACCATGCTTACTTCAGTCTTTTCTTTGCCTTTATTATTTTTTACATTTTTTTCTTGGGGGTTTTGTTTGTTTTGAGACACGGTCTTTCTGTTATACCCGGGCTAGTCTGGACTCACTGTGTAGCCCAAGCTGGTCTCAAACTTGAAGTTTTCCCACCTCAGTATCCAGCAGCTGCCTTTATAATTGTGAGCAGATTCCAGCCACTATAAGTTTTACATTGTTGGGTCCTGAAGTGTTTTTCTTTTTTTCTTTTTTTCTTTTTTCTTGGTATTTTTGAGACAAGTTTCCTTATACCCCCAGCCAGCCTGGAACCTGCAATGGAGACCAGGCTGGCCTTCATCTCACAGAGGTCCACCTGCCTCTGTCTCCTGAGTGCTGGGGTTAAAGGCCTGTGCCACCACACCTGGTGAGTCCTGAAGTTTCTGTATCACCTTAAATATTTATGACTTTATTTTTCTAGGGTCTAATTAAATTCCTTGGAAATTGTTTGAATCTTTTGAGCCATAGAACAGCTTTTATTTAGAAATAATTTGGCCCATTACTGAGACAGTACCCTTGTGATGACTACTCTGTCCCCATGTCTTTGAAGGTCTTTCTACTCTGGCTAGTGTGAACACAAACTATCCCAGCCCTGTGTGAGCTCTGGGGATTATCTGGCTGCTTCTGTATGGTGGATCTTTTTGCAACCGTACTCACTCTTCATGTGCATGCGCTGCTTTGTCCTTAACTGTGGACTCCTGGTGAACCTATACATATCACTGGGGCTCTTTCTCTGTGAATAGCTTTCTTCTGTCTGGTCTCTGCCTGCCAATTCTAGCTACCTTAACTTCCCTGGCGTCTGAATTTTTGTCTCTTTACTCAAGACTACAAATCTCATGGATTCCAGTCCCTACATTGTAGCCTGGAAACTCTCTAGCTGGGGAAATTATAGAATTTATTTCCCTTATCTTTGGAATCACTGTCTTGTGCCACATACTGTCCATTGTCTGAAAGCTGTTGTTTCATATGTTTTGCCTGGTTTTATTTAAGGAAAGAGGAAATTTATCTTCTGTAAATTCTGATAGCCTGAAGCAGCTGATATGTCTCTTATTTGATAATGAAAGATTGATTTCTTAGATATTTGTTGTCTTGTAATTAGGCTTTATATATTTAACAATTGAATGCTCAAATTATAGCAGTGGCAGATTTGTATACATAAATTAAATTCCTAGTACATAAAAATAAAATAGTATATTATGAACTTTAATGGAGGTTCTTGTTCACAGAATAACTTGCAGTCATTTCATTAAAATTTCATTTGTTCTTATATTTTCTAATTTTGATAGATCTCTCAGTTAAAATATTTCACCTGATTTCTGCTTGTTTCAGTATTATGTTCCAACTGAAAGCATAGAAGAAATACCCTTCACCAGGTTTATGCAGCATTAAAAGTGTTGGATAGCTATTCTTTCTGTATAAAATAAGTATTATAATTATTCAGTGTATATACATTTTTATATTTTAGTTATTCCTGGACAAAAATCTGGATGACCATATGTCTTCATAAAATGAATGTTTTGTAAGGAGCAGTATATTAAACTGTTAAACTTTTGTTTTTAATAGGCTGTTTGCTGTTTTGTGGATTTTATGCTTGACGGGATTCTTGAAGGTGAATTTTTAGAACAGTTAACTTGAATTTAATTCTGACTATGTCAATATAAATCAACTGAAATCCTGGAGGGTTATTTATAGAGGACCCTTAGTTTTAATTTTTAAAACATGTGTATATAGGATTATAGAATAATCTGTAAAAATTGTGGCCTTATGTTGATCATAATTATTGATTAAAAAAAAGATAAATGGGAAGGTGAGTTAAGTTACACATAAAAAGCCCCTCATTCATAGCTGCCAACCTCCAAGTGCCACATTTAATTCTGAAAAAGTGGCAGCTGGCAAGGTGGCTCAGATACTTAAGGTGCTAGCTGACAAGGCTGACAGCTTAAGTTTGTCCCCAGGACTCATATGTGGAAGGAAAGAACTGATTCCTACAAGTTCTTCTCTGACCTCCCCATACATACTCTAGTATGTATACTTTGCAACACCCCACCCCCCTGCATAAAATAAATAAATGTGATTTAAATTTTTGGCTGGCATGTGATTTAACATACTAATTCTGGCCAGGTGTCATGTGGTGGCATATACCTTTAATCCCAGAGCTCTGGAGGCAAAGTGGGTGGACCTCTGAGATTGAAGCCAACCTGGTCTACATAGGGAATTCCAGGCCAGCTGGAACTACTAGGGAGACCCTGTCTAAAAAACTGAGATGGCTCAGCAGTTAAGAGTACTGGCTGCTCTTTTGCTGAGGACCTGGGTTAGATTCCCAGTACCCACATGGCAGCTAACAACTGTCTATAACGCCAGTTCCAGGACCTTTGGGCATTGCAGAACATAGGCACACTTACATACATGCAGGCAATACTTTCATACACATAAAAGTAACAAATAAAATATTAAAAATAACAAATTTAATTCTAAAAAGAAACATTTAAACTTTATAGTTTAGACTGCTACTATTCAAAGTCAAATAGTTAATTTAATTGAAAGAAAGGTATGTATTTATTCATTATTCTCTGTCAAGGCAAGCTTGGATCTGCCTTCTTTCTCCTTGTACTATTTGATTTCAATGTTGTATGCCATTGTTAAATAGCAATAGATCATTATTGGAAGTAATTTAAGTACTTTTAACATGATTCTTAAATATGAACATAATTCTTCACTCTCTTGCCCATAGTTATTTTTTTATAGTGAGACAGTAGAATTGGTCTTCGCTGCTGTAGGAGCCCTTCTTTTCTGCGGATTCATCATCTATGATACACACTCACTGATGTATAAACTGTCTCCCGAAGAGTATGTGTTAGCTGCCATCAGCCTCTACTTGGATATTATCAATCTATTCCTGCACCTGTTGAAATTTCTGGAAGCAGTTAATAAAAAGTAATTGAAAGAAGTATATGGGGATTGTTTCATTACATAAAAATGACTGAGTCATACTTAAATATTAAAAACACATGATCTTTATTGGCATTCTGTATTTCATGTTTTTGAATCTTAATATTCTTTGTGTTATCTCATTTCTAAATCCTTGATATAGAATCTTAGGTAAGAGATACTAAGTTATTTTGTAACTTTTTTAAAAATTGAGACAAGATCTTGCTGTGTAGCCCAGGGTAGCTTTCTCATGATCTTCCTGTGTCAACCTCCTGAGTTCTGGGAATATAGGCATGTACCACCATGCTTGACTTATTTTTAAATTTTTTTTCAGTCCTAAATTAGCCATATCTAACTTCATTTATAATTCCAAATTAATTTTATGAATAGATTAAATATATCAATTAATCTTGCCTAGTACTTAACCTAAAATTTTCCTAAGAAGCAGATTTAAATTTTAAAAACTATTGTATATTGTTTAAAGTTTTTTTAATGTGTTTGAGTGTTTTGTCTGCAAAGTATATATATGTACACCATGTACATGCCTGGTACCTTTGGAGACCAGAAGAAGGTGTTTGATCTCCAGGAACTGGAGTGACAGATGGTTGTGAGCTGCCATGTGGGTACTAGGAACCAAATCTGGATCCTCTGCCAGAGCAGCAAGGGCTCGTAACCACTGAGCCATTGCTCAGCCTCACAGATTTGATTTATTCTAAATTACTATGTTTTATCATTATAAAGTATAAATCTCTTTTACCACGATTTTAATCTCCATTTACAAAACATAATTTAATCTCTATGAACATAAAAGATAAATCCCAAGGAGAAATTATTCAGTATTCCATTAAAATTAACTTTTAATGAAATTTTATTGTTAAATGATGTATTAAAATTTAAAGGTATGCTTGAAAGTCAGATAGGAACTAAAATTTGACAGTAATCATGTTTCTTAAAAAATCAAATTTCATGTAAAAATGATACCTGGGTCATTTAGCTGAAGAACCCCAATGATACTGGTTCATCTGACATTAAGTATATATATTTAAAATAAAAATACCTGGAAAGTAGTGTCTTGCAGTATGATTTGTGTTGATTCAGAAATCGTGTAGGTCAGTCTACTAGCTATCAAATGGTCAGTGGCTAATTTCTTCCCTCACTATACAGTAATCTCCTTTATTTGCAGTTTCACGTTCTGTGGTTTCAGATATCCACAAGTAATTGTGGTCCAAAAGGATCGGAAGAAAAATTCTATGTTCATAAGTTTTTGTTTTTTGAGACAAGTCTCCCGGTAGCCCCAGATGACCTGGAACTCCCTATCTAGACTGACCTCAATCTCAGGGAAATCCACCTGCCTCTGCCTCTCAAGTGCTAGGATTAAAGGTGTGTGTCACCACACCCAGTTCAGGCACAATTTCTTTTTTTAAATTTACACAGATTTGTGATTTCCTAGTTTTATACTATTGTCGTTTAAAAAGATACTCTATATGATGTCAACCTTCCTGAATTTGTTCAGACTTGCTTTGTGGCCTAACGTGTGATCCATTGCATGTAAAGGAATTGCGTATTCTGCTGCCTTTAGAGGCAATGCTGTGTTTATGGTTTATGTGTGCTATGTTCATTTTGGTCTGAAGTGTAATTGAAGTCCAATGTTTGCTGTTATATGTGTGAATATGTGTTCATATGTATGGGTGTGCATGCATGTGTTCATGTACATGTGGAGGCCAGAAGTTGACATCAGGTATGTTTCTCCATCACTCCCCACCTTATATTTAAAGATTTAAAAAATTTTATGTGTGTTTATATGTGTGTGTGCCACCTGTGTGTGGTGCCCACAGAGGCAAGAAGAGGGCACTGGATCCCCTAGGGTTGGAGATACAGATGGTTGTGAGCTGTTCAGTGTGGGTGCTAGGAACCAAAGTTGGGGCCTCTGGAAGATCAGAATACACTCTTAACTGCTGAAC